CCCCGCCTCCTCGCACCTCCGGCCCGCGGGCCAATGGGAAGCCAGACCCGGGCGGGGCGACAGGGGCTGGGCGGGCCCTGAGCCGGGGACACCTCCCACCCTTGTCGCCCGGGAGGGGCGAAGCGAGCGGCCTTGACCAGAGGGAAGGGGGAGGGCGATCAGCGGCTCTGATCTGTCCCTTCTAATGCAGGGACGCGCCGCCCTGGTCGGTCACACGCAGCCCGCGAGCTGCCCAGCGCGGGGACAGGAAGAATCGGTGGATGGTGGGGTTCGGGAGCAGTGGTTGGGGGACGCAGTGGTTATTCCCGTCTCGGGAACCAGCTGACCAGTGCTGAGCCGCGGCGCTGATGGTCCCCTTCCTCAGCGCGCAGCTGGGGCGCGGGAGCTGTCCGCCCCTTTGGTTCTGAACTAGGCGCTGCGGAAACTGCAGGTAGGCAGCGGGACCTGAGGGTCACAATCCCGCAAGTGCTGCAGCTTCCCTTGGGTCCTGGCTGGATGTGCTGCGTGCTCCTATGAATTCAAGAGCTGTGTAGCTTCTGGGAATCCTGCAGTCATTAGGAGCAGACACCGTCAGTCCGTTTCTGGAGTCAGATGCCCAGTCTGACCCTTGTAACTTGAGGGTGGCATCTGGAGTCGGTCATTTCTCATACATCTTTTAAACTCAAAATGTTCATTATCTCCAAATATTGATTATTCTACCACCATTATTTCAACATTTCCTTCAGTCATATATTTGACACACTCATCTGTTAAAATATAGCACAATCACCTAACCTTCAGTGCAACATGAACAATAGGAAAGAAATATTCTGTTCACTCCTTTTCCTTGGGAAGGAGTATGTTGTGGTCATTCTATTGGTAGTGCTATATTATCTGTCCTTCCTATCGTTTTGTTCCCTTCTCCTGCAGACTGTGCAATAAAGTCACATTGATGGTAATTGGACCATAATTCACTAAAAAAAAAAAAATCCACAGAGATGTAAGGACTTCAGAATCCTAGTAGGTACCCACTAAATAAACTACACAAAATGGAAAAAGCATGTTGCTGTTTCTATGTGTGTAGGAGGAGAGGGTGGGTCCATTCTGCCACCAACAGTATGAACAGGCAGGCATTCTATGACCCTGCTCTCCTCTCACCAGTCCTCAAATCAGAATCTTTGTACAGGCATGGGTTCATGTTAACCTAAGAGGCAATATATAAAAAGGAAGGTATTCACATACCATTGCTTGATATGGATTAGACTATAAATGAAAAACTGTTTGCAAAACATTTTAATTCTCATGGAAATTATGCCACAGAAGAGGACAGATTCCTAGTATAGCTATAAACTGGTATTATACTATAAAGATTTTGAAAAGTGTAACTTTAGGTCTTCAGACTTACCACATTGAGTCAAGGTGAAACACAGATTGAAGAGGCAAATAAGACTCTATTGCTTAAGTTCAAATTCTGCAAGTAGGAATTATGTAAGACTCTTGTAAGATTTTACATTATCTACTAAAAATAATTGAATGGGATCCAGAGGGATGGAATCTGTAAGAACTTTCCTTCTCCAGGTAGCCAATAAAAAAGTAAATTACTAAGGTGAGTGTATTTTAAAAAAATTTTTTTATTATTTTTTAAACAATTTTTTAAAAGATTCATTTATTTATTCATACAGGAGTAGGGTACAGGCCAGAGATGTGGAGGGTGAGAGGCTTCACCATAGACAGAGCATGGAGCAGAACAGGCAGATCGATGAAGTACCCTGCTGAGGGGAGCAGTGGGTGGGTTAGGAGAGGTCTGCCGCGCCATGTGGTCACTTCCCGGCCAGGCGGGGATCGAACCCATGCGGAAGTGGCTTTAGCTTCTTAATGCTGTGCTTTAACTCGCTGCGCCACCAGGGAGGGCCAGGTGAGTGTATGTTTTAAATGCAGTGGACCATTTTGATACTCATAGAAGCACAGAACAGTGACAAGGACAGATACACCTTACATCATCCCTAAATTGCGATTGTATGGCATTTATCCCAAGGAAGCCATGTGGATTTTGTGCACCCTAGACTCACAAGTGCTTGTAGCTCACACCACAGACATTGACAACTGAGAAGAGGATTACATGATCACCAAAGAAACAAACTGGGGGTCACATTGTTACCCAAAATATTTTCAAATAAAAATTAGATGACTATTTCAGCTTAGAGTCTATATTTAGCCAGTTGCTTTGTTAAGCAAATGTTTTCAACCAGAAAATTGAAACTCTTCCATCCTTTACAGAAAGGTGGCTCCTTCTAGATCTGGGAGGAGGGAAGGAAATGAAAAAACAAACAAACAAAACAATTGGAACAGAACAAACAGAACTTTTCTATCTGCCTGGCCTCTTCCTAGTTATGGTTACTATTATTATCTTTAATTATTGTAGATAACATCATCTGTGATGCTAAATTATACAACTGAACCAATATTTACTGAGATCTTTTAAATTTGGGTCAGAAACATCTTCCAAATAATATATTTTCTAATAAAATTAAAATTTTAGCTTAGTATTGAGTCTGTAACTTATGGTCTTTCCAAAGAGTGCCAGGTGGCGCAAGTAATCCCCTGGGTGTACATTCCTTAGGTTTTGTGAAACCAGGCATTTGGGCGTAACTGTATCTAATCGCGGTGTTTCATGCATTACTCCCTCGCTGGAATAGGACAGCTTTGTTATGTGTTACAAAGGGTAAAAAAATGTTATCATTTAAACATTGATGCTCTATTTCCCTTTTACTAAGAATTTCAATTTAAACCTTGAAAAAGCTTTTTATTTTTTTAGATTTACTTATTTATGCATACAGAACTGGGGTACAGGCCAGAGGTGCATGGGCAGTGCGAGGATTCACCAGAGACAGAGTGGGGAGCAAAACAGACCGACAGATGAAGTTCACTGCTGAGGGGAGCAGTGGGTGAGAAAGGAGAGGGCTCCTTGATGCTCCTTGGCCAGGGATCAAACTCATGCTGAAAAGGCTGCAGCTGGCTTCCTAGTGCTGCACTTTAGCCCACTGAGTTACTGGGGAAGGCCCTGAAAAAGCTTTTGACAATTAGATTTTTATTATGCATCACTCTAATGCATACATAGAAATAAAATATGTAAGTTAAAATAACGGGTGATATTCAGATTCACATGTGAAATTTTGCTTGGCAAAAGAAATCCATTTGTGGCCTATTGTTTCTTAAAAAAAAATGGTAACCTGATTATTTTCCTTCTTCAAATGGCCCTCAAAAGACCTATGACTTGGCTTGTCATGGGGTGTGATAGTCATACATTCCCTATGGTAAAGGATGAATGAATAATCACACAGACTCACAGACTCAGGCTATGGTAACTTCATAGAACTTTAACCTACAGAGCACCAACAATCAGAAGCCAACACAGAGAAAGAAGAGAATAGGGTGGTGCTGTAGTCAGAAATCAGAAAAGAAGTTGGGTGTTAAATATAAGGCTAGCTTTTATTTTGAGTGAAATGGAGAACTTAGAGAAAAAAGACAGTAAGATCTGACTTGTATTTTAAATGGACTGCTGTAGATACTAACTGGAGCAAAAGTCAAGATCGCATCTATAAAGATAGATTACTATGCAATCATTTAGGCCATAGAAGAATGTGTTTTGCACCAAAGTTGTAGTGATGGCTGTCATGAAACTGCTCAGATTCAGAATATATTTTGAATCCACATCCTTTACCAAAGAACTAAATGTGAACAGAAAGAGATGAGTCAATAATGACTCCACAGCTTTTTTTCTGGAGCTATTATTGCAAGAGCAGCAAGATTGAAGAGGAAGAATAAGAGTTTTGTTTTGAACATATTGGGTTTAACACATTGTTAACTAGAAATAAAGTCTCAATGCTAATTACACAAAGAGTTAATGAGATCATCAAAGTGAGAATTCCAGCCTCAGGCACCATCTAGAAGATTTTAGTTTGTGAGAGCTGTTTCAATAAGAACAAATTTGTGTCTAGATTATATAGGTAGGGACAATGAGTCATTGACACTAAGAATGTGACCATTTTTGACAGATGTGACTTCAAGTTCTAAAATGCCCCAAACTAAAGATACAGTGATATAGAAGCAGGCAGTGAAGAATTTAATCTCTCCTTCCTAAAGAATTCATTTCAGAAATGCAAAAGCTGGGTATTCATTATTAAATCTTCCTTATCCTGGATCAGCAGTGTGGAAAGGCTGACTTTGCCTATAAGCATCAGAGTTTGCATAGTTGTTTGAGACAAGCAGGTGGTTTTGTTCTTTGGCCTATTTGGGGTTCCCTGGAAATTTTCCAGTAATTTCACATCTATGTGGATCTGGAAAGAAGGCAATTGGAGAATGAATCTGGAGCTCTAGGACCAGCTGTGAACTGGAGGTAGAAATGCAAGAGTCATCTGCAGGAAGATGGTAGATAATAATTGTGATAGCCATGGATTGAATATAGACAGGGAAGAGGGCTGAGGATGAGTTTGGGAGCACACTCAAATTCAGAGAGTAGTGAACTGAGAATGAGTCGACGACAGAGACTGAGAAGGCCAGAAAATGAAGACAACGTGTTTC